CTGCTCTCTCTGCTTTTTCTCATAGTAGCTTCATCTGGTCTGTTCCTGTTTGGCTGTGACTCCATCCTGGAGAGAAATATCAGCTGTTCTGCTGCCATTCGATTAGAAATGATGGAGTTGGACCTTTTTTAGTTTTTCTTATTGCTCTCTCTCATTCCTTTTGGAATGACCAGCTTATAGCAAATCTATTTAACCTGTTTTTTTTCCAGACAGAGACACCTGTGGAGCTAGTTACCTTTTATAAAATAGAAGGTATTTATAGATCAGTCCTTCTATGTTCCTTTTGCAGATGGCTGCTCAAACTGAACCTCATTCTGGTGGAGGTTTCTTCTTGTTTAAATGGAGCTTTTCCTCTCCACTGTCACTGCATGTATGCTCAGTGTGAGGGACAAAATGCAAGCCAACGTCTAGAGTAGTTGCATGTTCCTGCAGGAGGCGGGAATCCTGCAAAGTCTGCATTTCAACTTGTTTTTCCCAGGATGGAAAAGTTTGACCCAATCTGACTGGATTATCTGATTGAATTATTTCAGATCATCATTTTTTATATAAATAAACTGAATATAATTGAATTAAACAGGAAAGACCCGTTTGAAACAATGAGGGGTATTGATGAACCTCATTCTGCTGTTAAAAACTGTTCATTTCTTTTCACTTATTGTATTAACTCTGAGCACAGACACAGTGTCGTCAATATTCGCTTCCCACAGCTGAAGCCCAGAAACCTTGGCAAACGTTTTCTAAATCCAAGAAATTCATGTTTGAATTCCAGCCACAGTTGTACCGGATTTTACCACATATTCCGAATCATTCGCGTTTTTTCTGCCGTTTCTTTTTGTTTGTCGGCAGAATAACTTCCCCCTCGAGCAGCTAAGTGAATTGACGGCTACCTCCTCCATCTTTCCCCTGAGGTAGCGGCTGATACCCACACCTGGATGCTCATGGGAGCGGAGGAAGAATAGATTCTATCCAGACATTTACAAAAACCCAGGGTCACATATTGAATCTCATGCATTAAAGACGTTATTTTCGCGCTTCACCTGCTCCCTCCTCTAGACTAACTCTTTCAAAGTTCTTTATCTTAAGACGTCCAACTATTCCTCAGTCCCACTCTGACAGATGTTATCAATTCAGGATGCGGTCAGGGAATCTATTAAGGTCTCCGACAGCAGATTAAATGACAGAAAGCTGAGATGAGGGTATTAAAAAGACACAGAGGATACGGATGATAAAGATGATCGTTTCCCTTTAGTGGGAGCCATTTATTGCTCTACAGAATTTCACTCTATTATTTTTATTCATCTCCAAAAACAGAAACAGATGAGAGCAGAGAAGCACCGCTGAGCTGGAAACAGGACTTTTACTTAAGTATAAGTGAGAAATGCGAGATCACATTCAGTGTGATTTAGAGTAGGTGGATAAATGCATCTTCAGCTGTGGGCCCATATTCATTCAATTTACTTTGGATAAAGGTATATCAGTTTCAATTTGTGCTCATGTGCAATCACCAGCCGCTCTGCCTGCACGCTTAGTGCCGCGGGATGTTAGGACGGGTGGCAGCCGCATGCCCGATTACACACTGAGGAGAGGAGAAGACGGTGGCGAGATGATTGTGTTTCTCTAAATGTTACGCACTTCTGAGGAAGAGCTGGTCAGAGGGTAAATATAGGTGAGTGTGAACGCAGCACAGCCTGCACTTAACCTCTGATTTCAGGCCTGAGCGGCAGGAAGATACTTCCCCTACAGAAGATAAGTGAAGGTGTAAAAATACAGACTCACACTGACACACCGCCTGCATCCAAATCGTCAGGCTCAGAATTTTTATTGCACGACAACCGCCTCTTTGAATGTTTTGTTCATTATTTTATAGACATTAATGTTTAATTATAGTGTGTTATGTTCTTACCGGTCTTACCAAGATCTTTAAAGGAAAAGTCCGCTCATATTCAGAATTCAAACTTTTGAAAGTTCTTTAAATATGAAATTATTACGTACTTTTTAATAAATGATCAGTGTTTTTAATTAAGAGTAATTTTCATCTGAATGTGCTTTACTGACGGGCTAACGTTAGCCCTGGCCATTGCATACGGGCTAACGTTAGCCCTGGCCACTGCAGACGGGCTAACGTTAGCCCTGGCCATTGCATATGGGCTAATGTTAGCCCTGGCCACTGCATACGGGCTAATGTTAGCCCTGGCCACTGCAGACGGGCTAATGTTAGCCCTGGCCATTGCAGACCGGCTAACGTTAGCCCTGGCCATTGCAGACGGGCTAATGTTAGCCCTGGCCACTGCATACGGGCTAACATTAGCCCTGGCCATTGCAGACGGGCTAACATTAGCCCTGGCCACTGCATACGGGCTAACGTTAGCCCTGGCCATTGCATATGGGCTAATGTTAGCCCTGGCCATTGCAGACGGGCTAACGTTAGCCCTGGCCATTGCAGACGGGCTAACGTTAGCCCTGGCCACTGCAGACGGGCTAATGTTAGCCCTGGCCACTGCATACGGGCTAATGTTAGCCCTGGCCACTGCAGACGGGCTAACGTTAGCCCTGGCCACTGCAGACGGGCTAATGTTAGCCCTGGCCACCACAGACGGGCTTACCTTAGCCCTGGCCATTGCATACAGGCTAACGTTAGCCCTGGCCACTGCATACGGGCTAACGTTATTCTCGTAATATTAAGGACTGTACTCTCATAATAATACAACTTTATTCTTGTAATGTTACAACTTTATTCTCATAATATTTTGAGTTTATGCTCATAATATTACGACTTTATTCTCATAATGTAACCACTTTATTCTCGTTATATTAAGGAATGTACTCTCATAATAATACAACTTTATTCTCGTAACGTTATGACTTTGTTCTCATAATATTTTGAGTTTATGCTCATAATATTACGGCTTTATTGTCAAAAAGGAAAAAAAATAAAAATCTCTATCCTGGCCCATAAATCATTTCTCCTTCAGGCACAAATTAAAGCTGAACTCTTACATATAAGCAGCTGCTGTTCATGATCTGTCTGCAGATTTTCCAAACTGGCCGATTGATGCACTCAGAATCCTCTCACATTCAACCAGAATAGCTCATTCAGGGAAAACAGGTTAAAAAAACAAATATTCCACACCGAACATATTGGCTGTGGTCCAATCAGAGCTCGCTATCATTAGACAATGCTCACTACCCATTTGGGTGTTATGAACCATGAAATTAAATCATTAAATTGAATTAAATACAACACACTATCACTGTACTGTTTAGAGCTGACAAATCCTTTATTTACTCCGCCATCACACTTCATCAAGCCATTTACTGAGAGAACTTTATATCGGCTGCTGTTCTTTTTATTTATACGTTATATATTTCTATAAATAAAACTCCAACCAGTAAACTAGAAAATGGAGATAATCGCTCCGGCAATCCTGCTCTGAAAATGGGTTCAGAGCAGAGGCTTCAGGAGTCACTCAGACAACAGATGAGCTCATCTTTGCAATCAATATGGCTGACACTAACAGCTTAACGCTTTGAAAAGGCAATCTGCTGTGGCTAATGGCTTATGTTAAGATTTCAGTCGTGTCTTTATGACTCTTAACTCAGGCTTAGCCCCTTATTGTAAAACAGCTGCAATACTCTCTTAACTCCCTTTTCAATTCGAGCCCCTTTTAATCTCCCCAAAAGTACGCAGCGCTGTGTTCACCCAACGAACGGGGAGGGAGGAAGAGAGCGGGGGGCTGCCACGGATGAAAGCCACAAAAGATGACCCGCTCAGGCTCTCACGCAGAGGGATATCTTCATCTGAGGCAGAGCATCCACCGAGCTGCTCTTTGGTCTGTCAGATCAATGGTGGGGAGGACCGGGGGGGTAAAAAGTCCCTTTTCTCATATCTATGTCCAATTAGCAGCAGCTATCAGTTTAGAGGACAGTTTAATAGCGGGCCTTCACTCAGTCTGGGTCAGTCGTTTGTCAAAGGCAGACTAAGGGCTCTTCTTAATTACATTGTTCATTCAAGGCCAAAGAACATGTTCCACACTCAGCGCCTCCCTGAAAGTAATACTTCAGCGTTATTATCTTGGAGTTTTTTAATATTAGGAAGAAGCAGAATCCAAAGTCCAAACTTTTTTTTTTTTTTTTTCTCATGTGAACTTCTCTGGTTTCAAGTGAGGCGATTGAAATTTGAAAGAAAAACAGCAGGCTCAGCAGAGGATGTACTTCCTAAGGGAGACAATGATGGAGCACTTCTACTCCGCCATTACTGAGTCCAACCTCACCTTCTGCTTCACCATCAGAGAATCACTGGCTGTGCAGAGAGGCTGGATGGCGGCAATATTCATTCTCTTCAAAAAACTGTACACCTCCAGGACTCAGAGGCAAGCTGGAAAAATGACACCTGAGCCCTTCCACCCTGGACACAAAGTGTTTCAGACCCTCCCCTCTGGCAGGAGGCTGTATATGGGGTGCATTTTGTTCCATTATTATTCCCTTAGGCAAAAAACACATTTTTAAACGAAATTAAAACCCCCCACATTTTTTAAATAAACAGTTTTAATATGGTGACCAAACGTCCTCGTTTTCCTGGACATGTCCACTTTTTACTTTCTGTCTGGGTTGCCGCAGGGGGATTATGAACCAGAAAATGTCTGATTTTCACAGTTTTTTTTATCGGACCATAATCATATGCCCGGCCGGGCCCCATGGGTAAAGGTCCGGCCACCAGGCGCTCGCCATCGTGCCCCCCCTCCAGGCCTGGCTCCAGAGTGGGGCCCCGGTGACCCGCGTCCGGGCGAGGGAACGCCGAGTCCAAAGGTTGTAATCATCTTAAGGGTCTTTGGGCTGTGCTTTGTCTGGTTCCTCACCTAGGACCTGTCTGCC